AGTTACAAACTATTGTTAACGATTTTCACTCTTTAGCTATTTGTCGAGGAATTTCCCCTATTATAGCTCATAATGTTGTGGATACCATGAAAAATGGATACATAAATAGTAATTCACAGATGGCAAAACAAAGAATGTAAACTAAAAATTGAAAAGACTAATGAAAATATATGCTCTAAATGTTGTTTATTAAGTCGAGCACTATCTGAAAATGTTGTAAGGTACCTATGTCTATGTATTAAATAAAACACAACCCAAAGTAATTATTTATCGACATATTTAACAGAAGAATTTTATTTATAGATTTTCCAAATACAAAAATAATAAAAACTCCATTTCAATATTATTAAGTTCAGGAAAAAAAAACCTTTAGCCCACTCACACCAGGCTATTAAAAAGCATAGAATTAGGTTGTTACATAAAAGCAACAAACATGAAAATATGGTAAAAACTTATCAACTTAAAATTGAGAGTCTTTCTGAAGAATTTATTCAACAGCATGTTAAACGTCTTAATCTTAGTTCTGCTCAAGCTATGGTCATTAATGAATGTCTAAGGATAGGTAAATATAATGCGAAAACACCCACGACTATTACACTACCAACCGAGGTCGAACACGAATTTCCGTCAGGCTTCGTAACGGTGCTATTAGATCCACAGACCCAAATCGTACGTAAACCCGACCATAGCCTGTAAATACGGCAAACCCCTCCACGGACCAACAAACACAGTCCGGATGGCAGACGGACACATGCAACAAACAGAGCAGTACCACATGGATAACCAACGTCACGTCGCAGCCATACCAACGACAACGAGGCACCAAATCACGAGGTCAACAACCAACACCACCTACCAGAGAGGGTGTCAGCAAGGCAAGCTTACTTCAAGTCACATGGCAAGGGGTACCGCGAGCTGAACCACTTATCCACCGACAACAGTACGCTGTGGCACCCCGTATGGTGGTTTGGGGGGGGGGAGTATGACGCGGCCCGCGTTAGTAGCAAGTACAATGTACAAGCACTATACCTAGCGACCAGTCTATCTTATCTCCAACCACCACCACGGGATGCAAGCAGCGCGACCGGGTTGACTCTCCCACCGAGCCGGTAACGGCAAGGCGGGACGGGAGGACTGTGTCGCGTAAGACGTACAGCGGTCGGCGGAAAAGGCGATTCGAGATCCACCATCGGACCGTCGGACCGATAACATATCGTCCGACGTTAAACTCATCTGCCCGAGCGGCACGTCATGTATTATTATATTTTGGTCGCAATATTATAATACATAATTTGTGACATTCTTAAAGTGTTTGTTGTGTTTTTTTCATCACCTCAATCCTAACCAAACACTTCGACCGGACCACGATCAACCTTGAAGCAATCATCGTGTCCGCGTCAAGAAGAACTAGAGGACAGTGGACCAACTGCAATGTTTTCACTATACTTGAATAATCTGTTTGATTACCTTAATAGACGTTATCCTGGAGAAGGGATTAAACATGGCAGCCCAGATATTGATGTCAGTCAAACATAATGTTTCAGAACTGTTATTTTAAAATTATATAATTTAAAGTTGATATTAAAATAACTAAATAAACTTTTATGTTATGTTCTAGATTCTAAAAGAAGGTATAATTTGGATTGACTCTTGGGAAATGGAGGTTTCTAAAAATATTATTTTGCATGATAACTTCTAGTTAAACAGCAGAGGGTCTAAGAGTTACTCTTCATTCAACCATTACCTCAATTGAATATCTTCATAGTGTTGGATTTGACTATGTTTTAACTTCAAAAGCTAATCAAGATAAAATAGAGGTAACATAGGCGGTTTGATATTTTATAATATAAATTCTTATAAGACATTTTACACATTTATCATGCTAAAATATTTGAATACCAATACTCAAACACTAGCATTAATGTGGTCTTAACTTTTAATAATAATATAAATGTTAAATAATATTATATTGTTTTAGGAATTTTTTGGAACTATACGTTAAGCTGGATGTCAAAATGATCATCCTGCATTACCAACATTCCAACAGTTATATCGTCTGATATCAACATAATATAAATTATTAAGACCCCCCAAAGTTTAGTAATTGTTCTGTTGACGATGATGAACCAGTTATAAGTTATAAGTTATAAGTTTTGAAGAGTTTAAAAGTGTTTTTGGAAGAGATGTTTCCAAGAGATTTTATAATTTTACCTTAATTTGTTAATGTGTACATTTTATCTAGTATAACGTCGAATTTATAATACATGTCTTCATTTACATTAATTTATGTACAATTTTGTTTTTATGAGACTTTTTGACGAGTTTTTGTTCGTTTATTGTATGAAATCTGTATTTCAAGCATGAAAATTAGGGCCAAAAGACTATAGCATGATCTACCGGCAAACCCGTGAATAAAACACACATTCACTGGGACAATTGTTTGCATTACGAATATACGGCCGTGCGTGTACCTCTATAATCTACCGTGGTTTTATCTTTTATTTACATAATACGCACTAATGCCGGGCTGCATGAACATTGAACAATCGTAAGATCGAATTCCTCATCAGATGACAAAGGGCTTTAATTAAATTAGAAATTTCCTGACCAGTAAGTCGTTTTTTTTTTTTATTGGAGGTGATTTTAATATTCCCGATAGACCTGGATTATTGTCCACTTTGTATAAAACATATATTATATCAACTAATAATCTTACGAAGTTATCAAAAAAATTGAGTTACAAAATGTTGTTTAAATTATGAAAATAATTGTATTTATTTCTACGAAACCAATAACGAAAAACAAGCAAGCTGCATCAACTTCCTTGGAATACTGATTTATTATACTAATAATCTACAGTACCACTACCTAGTAAAAATAGTTTTGTAATAAACCAGTAGTTATCAAAATCAATGTTCATAAACGGTATGCGAAATGTGAATATACCATACTGCGAACATAAATACCATAGGTACTCACTTATTGTTATTACACATTTAATAAAAATACACCCCGTATGTTATTAAAGTAAACTAGGTCAATAGGTGACAACACAAATCATATAATATTATTATATTATTGGAAATAGGACCGCCGCGCTGTCGACATCGCCGTCGCTGTCATCGTAATACGTTGAAAAATAATTAATACACATTAAAAATAGCTACGCAAAATCCAAATATACCAATGAAATTACGAGATCCTACTTAACAACCACATATAAAAATTGAAATGGTGCTTCTATAACCGATGAAATAATACACGCCATACATATACATATAATATTTGTCGACTACGTGTCGACCGCGGTCCTGGTGACCCTACAACAGTTGTCGACTACCAAACTGGAAATTTGGGGTGCATTATGGATGTTTGAATACTATTAACCTTGGTTTTTAATAATGACGCCACCAATGATTTTGGTGAATGGGGTCCCTAAACAAAAAATATATCACACAAATAGTACGTGAATAGCTCACCTGAGCTCTAGTTTCTAACGGTTTCATTGCTATTGCAATGATTGAATGTAGAGATGTGTCGTTCGTGAACGACCTAGTTCAATTGAACTGTTCACCAAAGTGAACGATTCGAACTAGTTCACCATTAGATGAACGACGTCGTTCATCGTTCATTTTACACTGTATACTGTATACCGGGTAACCGGGTATATCTTATACGTTCGTCGTTCACTACTACGAACTACTAAGACGTTAACGAACGGTAGTGACTAGTGAACGAATTTCCGTTTTCGTTCACTACTAGAACGATTTAAGGTTAGGAACTCGGATTATTGTACTAATGTACTGTGTTATCTATCTTTAACCGTGGTGTATACTATCAGCGTATAATGTATATACTATATTACCATTGTTATTTGTTATCACAGATATCTATACTAGTATATTATGTCTATGTTATGTCTATGTATATGTCTATGTTAGTATAGATATCTGTGTTTGTTATATATAATACTATAATAGTAGTGAGTAGTGACGAACCGACGAATATGAACGAGAGTCGAGAATGTAACATGTCATAACGAGTCAACAAGACACGAGTCAAGGGTTATACAATTATTTGAATACCGATTAACCCAACTTAATATTAACTCCTAAACAATATTTAATATGGGTAATCCTAAATCAACCCCTATGACCCTATGTAGATTGTCGGTACCGATTTATAGTACTACCCAATGGCTAAGTAGTAAGTATTAATTATTCATTTTTTTTTTGTGATTTCAATTTTCAACTATTATTATTTATTAAATGCATTAATTTTTCTTAACTGTTAGATATTATAACTTATAAGTGTACCACAAGAAGAAAAAATAAAATCACACTATGTAAGCTGTGAACTGTGAAGCCAATGATTCTAAATCACCTTTCGTACCCATGACAGGTATGATACTTACTTTTAATGTCAATAAGTTATAACTAATAATAGTTTAGACAATATAAATAAAATCAAAATTACAAAATAATTATTATATATTTTATAAAAAAATTTAAATACTTATATGAAGGATAAAATAATAACTCAACACTTGTAAACAATCAAATAAAATAATAATATTGAACATTTTTAAATAGATACATAAAAACAAATCATAAAATAATAATCAAAATGTCAAATATAAGTAGGAACAAATAAAAATTGGAACAAAATAACTACTAAAAACATAAAAACTAACGAAAGTAAAATATTAAAAATGCAAAATATAAACAACAAAATTATAACAGAATGTCTGTAGTCAAAACTTCAAAATAAACAAATATAATAATAATCAACATTTTCAAAAATATCTAAAAGAAATGAAAAATATAGTTATAAAACAAAACTTTAATAAAATTATATTGAGATAAATGTTGCTATAGGAACTTAAAAACATGCAAAAATTAAAAATTAAAATGTTAAATATAAAAACAAAACTATAACAGAACACTGTGGTCAATACATTAAAAAATACAAAAATTTAAAAGTTAAAATAAATAAATTTGTTAAAGATTTTGATTTAAAAATAACACTTGTGAGGACTTAGTGACTAGCATCCGTGATCTTTTTTCAGTTATGACCATACCTGCTTTACTGAACAATCTTTCGCATGGAACTGTTACACATAGCCGTTTTCTTACCATTATAAACAGACGTGGGTATAATTCTTTGTGTACAGTCCACCATGTCAAGGGATCTTCAAATCTGTTTATAAGTGGCTCCTGTAAGTACCTGTCCAATTCGATAATTCCAGCTGCTGTTGGATTAATTGAAGTTTGACATAGTTCATACTGTTCATCAAATATTTTCCAGAGCAATGATGTAGAAGGAGTAGAAGAAGAAGAAGTAGATGGATTTTCAACTATGGTTGATGTAGTTGCGTTAGCTGTACCAGGCAAAGTCACTTGACAGACTTTCCTCTTCAACTGATCAATTGCTACCTCCAATTTCCGTTGGTTAAATCCATTAAATGCCATCTTTTTAAACCTTGGATCAAGAAGAGCTGCCTGTGTCACAATCTCATTATCTTCGTAGCTTGAAAATCTTAAATTTAATTTTTCCAATAATGTCGTGACCATATCTTGAGCTTCATTTGGTAAGGCTGTGTTGTTTTGAAAGCTCTTCATAGTGTCATTCATTGCTCGTATAAAAATTAGTACTTTGGACATACTTACATATCGTTCGCTGCTTATTTCTCTTGTCACTTCTGCAAATATTTGTAGAATATTAGTTGACCATTCTACAATTTGCCACTCTACCACCGTCAATTGTTCCACATCACATTGAAGAATAGCCAAAGTGGAAACAACAGCATCTTTGATTTCCATTATCCGTTTAAACATGTCATGTGTGCTGTTCCATCTTGTAACCACATCTTGCTTCAACTTCAATGGTGGTAAGCCCATTTGTTGTTGCATTTCCTGGAGTTTGGACTGGGCATGTGAACTCCGTTTAAAATGCTCCACGATGGATTTCACTTTCTTTTGTACATGGCTGATATTTTTGAGACCATTCTGGACAACTAAATTTATACAATGGGCAAAACAAGGTACATGCCGAAATTTGCAGTCTCTAATGGCTCCTACAATATTGGGAGCATTATCACTTACAACTGCAGCCACTTTGTTTTCAATATTCCACTCTCGAACGGTATTTTTTAAAAACAAAGCCAAGTTTTCGGAGGTGTGCCTTTCTTCAAATTTCTTACAGCCAAGACACACAGATTGAAGTGATGCCTTTTCATCAATGAAGTGAGCAGTAACTCCAATATAGCTCTCATTTTTGATTGATGTCCATCCATCTGTTGTCAAACACACTGCGAAACAATTGGTCATGAGAACTTGTATTTTCTCATGAGTCTGGTGGTAAAGAAGAGGTATCATGCTGTTGGAGACTGTTTTCCTCGAAGGCAATTTATAACCACCATTCAACATCTTCAAAAGACATTGAAATTCTTGGTCTTCAACAATGTCAAATGGATAATATCTATAAAATAAAACATTGTTTCAGTTATTTTTATTTAAAATTATAGTTACTTTTTAGTGCATAGAAATGTTATCTTATTATTATAGTTGTTGTATTTACCCCTTAACAATCATTTTAACCAATTGATGATCTATTCTTTTTTGATGATTGACATTTAGTGGTTTTGTTTGATTGAAATAACCTGACAGTGTGGTCTGTCCATTTGTACGATGCCGTGATGTTCCTGACGGTCCAGCAGTAGTTTGAGGAACAGTCTCAGATGTAGATGGACCTTGAGCTGACTGTGATGTAGATGGACCTTGAGTTGACTGTGATGTAGATGGACCTTGAGTCAATTCACATCCGGCCATAATTGGGTCATCAATAATTTCTAAAAAAAATATTGTTTTTCTACATTACAAAAATACTTAATAAAATAATATATTTTTTTGTGCACAAACCTGCTGCTGCATTTCTTGTATTTGTATTTAATGGAATCAAGACATGCTTTGCCTTCATGTGCCGTCTTAAATTACTCAATGATCCACGTGTAGTACTAATTTTAGCTGAGCAATATCCACACTGAGCCTTCTCGTGTTCAATTTCAGTGAAATGATTCCACACTTCACTTGTCTTAGCCCGATGAGGTGCCATTACTCTAAATTTAAATAAAAACTTATTTTTTTATTGATATTTAACTAAAAAAAATATGTACGTATTATAATATGTTAATTATAGTTAGGTACCTAATAATTACATTTATTTTTTTTATAAATAGTACTTTTTTTTGACTTGGTACTGTACATTTAGTATCTCACTGTCTATACACAGCTTAACTAAACTAAAATGTTGAAAAATAATTGTGTATTGAAAATATATAATTTACCTGTATTTTTTTCTCAACGATAAAAATTAATTTTATTATATTATTAGTATATGCAATGAATAGGTATGAATGTAAGATATAATATTGTTAATAATAAAAAAATGTATATAAATAAAATATATGATTCATTCTGAGAATTGTAATGAACTAATGAATATATTATATGAGGTCGATATAAATTATATATTAATATTATATTATTTTTATGTTTTTGTGCACATGTTTTCAAGCAAAAGTAAAATCTTAAACTTTGAAGATTGATTTTGGTAGAAAATTGAACCTAGTGAGTCAAATGTTAAGTAAATAATTAATAATTTCTAAAAAACGATAGATGAAATTTGGGAATCAAAAATATTTAAGCAACATCAGTTGAAAAAACTTAATTTTTACAAAATTGAATATTATTTAGACGAAAAATTAAGATTTAGGTACATTTTCGAATTCGAATTTAACAATATATTCTAGTGATTGGTCAATGATGAGCAGAGTTCGGGACTTATAGCACTTATAATCATAAAATAAGTGTTGAAAAAACCAGGGATGGAAGATGGAAAACAATTAATAAAACAAAAACATTAACAAAAAATCCCAAAAACCGAAAAAAAATTGAATAACGAAATAAAAAACGAAAATAAATTATAGTATCATACATTATTATATTTATACCACGAAAAAAAAAAATTTCACCTAAGTCTTTACTTTTTAATCTTTACCAATAATGCACTTAAAATTTAAAAACATTTTAATTTTAAATTTCTATATAAATTATAATTTTAGTTTAAAATTTAAATATTAAGAATAATTTATTTTAATTTTTAACTTTTAAGTACATTTCTGTATTGTGCGTTACTATTATAAAAAAAATAAAAACGTTATTTGGAAACAATAGGAAAATAACGTTAAACAAAAACTAAATTTTTTAAATCAATAAACAAAAACGAAAATTAAAAAATTAAAAACATTTTCCATCCCTGAAAAAACCCTTAAATACTGAATAAGCAATAATAAAAAAAATAAAAAATAAATGCACTGAACTATCAATACAATTTTTTTCATTATTATCGTTCGTTTTTTATGTTTAACATAAAAATTGTAATCTTTAAGAAAACCAAAAACCGTTTTTTAAAAAATTTAAACTTCTTTATTATATTTCTTATAGATTTTCTTAAAAATTAATTTAAAACTGTTTAAGAATAACCGTAAAGAATTGAACTCATTTAGTACTAGGAAATACTATAAACAAAGGAGAAAAATTGTTTTTAGTTCAAGCTTTACTGTATAAATAAAAACAGAAATTAACTAAAATGTCTATACTTTTGTTAGTGGGACGTGGAAATCATAAATCATAACCAAGTAGAAATATGCAAAAAATCAAAAATAATAAGAAAATCTGCTACATTTTAAGTCAAACTATTAAAGTTGAACTCATTGGGCCCCGTTAAATTAAATGAGCTGAACACCCCAAACTCTGAACATTTAAATAAAAATATTAAATAGTAATAAAAAATGAATATCTTATTGAAAAATGGGTCGTTAACTTTTTAGGGCTGGTTAAATTGTTAAAATCTTAAAACTTTGTGGACAGATACCTAGCCTATCCAGACTCGAAATACTGCACTTCCTACGCAACAGAGTGAGTTATTAGGTTTTTTTATTTCGATGTTTTTGTTTATTTAAATGTTTATAATCATAATATTAAAAAAAACTTACCTTTTAACGTCTGTACTGTAGTTTATTTGAAAAAAAAATCGCGAAACACGTAAAGTTGAAATAGTGTTCAGCAAATGTTCACCGCACGAAGTCGAAAAACAGACAAACATAAAAAATCTTTTTTTTTACTTGTAATGTTATAAAATGTCTGAGCCCCTACCCCACCCCCCAAAAAAAAATCATTCTATAACATTTCTTTAACAGACCCATTAACATTATACATATTATTACATAATATAGGTATACAATACGCAACGGTACCGTATACACTGTAATTCTGAATAATTCGAAATTCAGCTATTAGTAGGAAATTATACCTATAAATTAGAACACATAATGTTATCAATTGACAAATTTAACATTTGGGTAGTCAGGTCACTACCCTAATTAGTCGTAATCTTACAAATCACAATAGGCAAAATGGTAATACAAATTACATAGCACCATTGACTACTAGGTACAAAGATCATTTGCGGGCTTGCGGCATATGCTACCTTTGAGATGGTTATTTTTTAGTACTACAATATTTTTTTAATTTTCCAATGGAAAAATGTAAAAATTATTTTATGGAGTACAACTACTAGCCCTCCTGTCTAGCCGGGGGAGATAATGATTTTAAATTATAAAATTAAATAATCATAGTAATACTACTAATACTATACCTTAATAATTATTATACGCCTAGTATATTGACTACCTACTATAATATTTTTGAAAATATAAGTTTTGAGATTAAAAGTGATGAATATATGACAAGTTCGGGGACAAAAACATCGGTAAAAGCAGTCCAAAAATACCGACTTCTTTAGATGGTAAAATATATTCATAAATCATTCATAAATTTGTATTATTAAAAAAAAAATTTGATTTTTTTCGGGAATTTACAATAAAATTATTATTAAAATTTGCAATACAATATTACATATTATTGCGTATGCGGACCGTCAATGATCCAAAAGATGATGATTTGAAATAAAGTTGTAGTCAATTTCAACAGTGAAATAAAGAATAGTGTATTTTTATTTTTTATAAATTATAATATTGTACAGTATAGTCGTATAAGCATTTTTGTATTGTGAGTGACGGTCTTAACGATGTCGGCTCCATTGGTATGGACATTGGCCGAGGACGTGATATCGGCTCATGGTAAGTTGTTGTTTTCGTAACAATATATTCACTGGGCTCTGTCGTTTCGAATGCTAATTTATTACGTTTACCAAATTTTGAAAAGGGGAAATAGATCGTGATTCGTGATACATACGCTGGCAGTTAAATGTTACCTATAAATCTATTGATTTATAGTTTTGTTTACATAGTTAGGTGATTATTTAGAATAACATATAAGAGAAACTTGTTGTCCTCGACATAATCCGTAAAGCTGAGTCTCGTGTCAATATAGAGTATAGACGCATTGCATTTTTTTAGGAATCACTGCAGGATAAAACCAAAGGAATAAAAATAATGAAAATTAAATCCAAATTTGTATATTTATTATTTTGCTACTATGTCATATTCAATTAGACATTTAGACATAAGTTATATTTTCTAATTACAAATGTAGCTGGTAGAATAATAATAAACCTAAGCAGATTTTCTGGTTAGGTATAGATAACTATACTAATTATATTTGTTTTAGGGGTTTTGTAACCTAATTTTTGTAGGGATACTAAAACTGTTTACTATATTGTACTTAATTATCATGATTTTTACAAGGCTTTCGTTAATACAAAACTGGTGTAAAAAAACATAACGATAGGTACTATTACCATAACAGTGTTCTTTTGTCAAAACCTTTTATCATTTTCAAAAAGTTTGTAAAAATATGTACAGTACCTATATAAGACGTATTATATTATAATATATTAAATACAAATTTAAAAATAACATTTTACTTCAAAGATACGAGAATATTTCTCAAAGTCGTATTATTGAACCTGCAATCAGTACCTGGATACTAATTTTGATCATACATTGTATGATCGTAATTCGTAATATTTATTTATTTATTTATTTATTTATTAATTGAAATACGGGACGTGCCCAATTACATAGAATGTACCTACATAAAGTAAGGAAAGTTACATAAATTACAAAAATACAAATATACAATTAGGATATAGAGCACATAGACAAAATAACATAGTAACTAAGAGAACGTTGCATTAATTACAAAATACAATTAAAATATGAAAAAAAAAAATAGAAAAACAGATAATAATTTATTGCCTGCAAGCATTCAGGAATAGTGGGTCCTCATTCGCTAGTTTCGTCATACGAACAATAGGACGATTTACTAAATACAGCGGCTAACAAGAATTTGGAAAAGGAAGGAGTATCTGGAGTAAAAACTTGGAACTCTGAAATTAAGTTTATATAGGAGGGCAGGGGAATCCACTTCACCATTTATTAGTTTAGTAAGGAACGTAAGATTAGCCTGTTTCCTCCTGTCCCATATATTAATTATTGAACATATTATACCATTTCCATGCTGTAGTCTGTGGATGGAAGGGTAGTAATTGGTCAAAAAGTCAGGAGACAAAAAATTCATTTAAAAAAAGCTGGACAAAAAGTCTGGATTCATTTTTTTACTGTCGGACAAAAAGTTCAAAAATACTAAGTATTAGACTTGAATTTGATTACTATTAATTTTACTTACCTACAGCATAAAAATAGAATTATTATTCCATACACAAATTTAAAAAATAATAATCAATACAAAAGTAAGTTCAAAAATACATATAATATAAAAAAATTTAAAATACAAACCTTTTGGCTTTTTAAAATATTTTAAATTTAAAACAATAAACAATACAAACATCCAGTCGTTCTACAATAATAATAATTTAATATAAATTAAAGAATGACCTATGCAATTTAAAAATGCTCAACTCATTATTACTAATGTTCAGTGACGTAGCCGGGATTTCTAAAAGGGGGGCGCAACAAAAAATTTTTGTTTTTTTGAGCAATTGAAAATGGAAAATACTTGATTTTTATCTGTCATGCTTCACACGGCTGTAACGCCTGTAACGTTGTTGTAAAAGTCTTCCGGCTTGTG